GTGGACCCCTCATCTGAAGGCATTGCGTTAGAATATATACAGATTCCTGATCCAGATGGGAACACTATCGAAGAGGTGGACCGGTTGCGACAAATAATATGGAAGAAACTACATCTGCTGATGGGCAAAGGTAACACCTTACCCCCGGCCGCCCGAGGAGCGATATGCGATATCGATTTAGGGAACGCAAGACCGATCGCGCAACGCGTACGGAAGGTGGCCCCTCAATTCAGAGAGAAGCTAGCCGACCTGATCAAGGGACTGTTATCAGCAAAAATCATTCAGCCTTCCACCTTGCCATGGGCCAGCCCAATTGTAATTACCGTGAAGAAGAATGGGGTCGATATTCGATTGTGTATCGATTATCGGTTGGTGAATGATCTCACCCAGCTTATGGTCTACCCTATGCCGTTGATTAATGAATTATTAGAGGACCTAGGTGGAGTTTTGTAATATTGCTCTCTTGACATGGCGAGTGGTTTTTGGGTCGTCAGTATGACCGAAAGGGCGAGACTAATCTCAGCTTTCGTTACTCCACTGGGATTATTTGAATGGCTTCGGATGCCTTTTGGGCTTAAGAATGCGACTCAGATATATCAAAGGCTGTTGGATAATGCGCTATATGGATTCTTACGGATTTCGCCAGGGGCGGCTACAGAGTTAACAGATGATTTGTTCGCAACAGGGGAACCCGATGCAAAATCGGGCCTCTGTATTGGGTCGACGATCATACATTGACGACATACTTGTTCCGGCCGAATCGTGGGACGTATTATGCCAGAAAGTGGAGCGGCTGCTAGACGTGTGTGACTATTGGAATTTGTCGGTCAGTGCCGTCAAGAGTACGTGGGGATGTCGGAAGGTCAAGTATCTTGGGCATCGAGTTTCCAAAGGGGGACTAGAAGCCCACCCAAAAGATCTTCAGTCTTTGGTCGACCTACCTCTACCGACAACGCTGAAGGCTATGCAGTCCTTTCTAGAAAGCCTAAATTACTACAGCAGGTACATCGAAGATTATGCCATATACGCGTCGATCCTCTATGAACTGAGAGAGGTGGCTTTTCACGCTTGGAGGTGCAAATTGAAGGCTGACGAGGAAGTGGCGGCCCAGGAAGACGACGAAGAAAAATGGTCGAAGGTACAAGTAGCGTTTGCCATGCTCAAGAACAAGATTGTTACGGCGCCCATCCTACGACATTTCGACCCGGCTAGAGAGGCGGTCATCATTGTCTACGCAAGTGATTGGGCTATCTCGGTGTCGTTGGTGCAGAATTACGACGGCCTGTATATGCCGGTAATGTTTACGAGCCGAACCCTCAAGTCAAACGAGGTGAACTATAGCACAGTGGAAAAGGAAGTGTTGACGTTGTTACGAATATTGGAAACTTGCTTCACTATGTTGGTCACCCGACCTCTCAAGGTTCTGACGAGGCATTCTACACTAGACTGGCTAGTGAAGTCTTCGGGGTTGCAAGGTCGCTTAGGAAACTGGGCCGCTCTGTTGTCACAGTGGACTTTGGAGATTGTGAAATGCAAGAAAGGCGAGGACCAGAAGCTGGGGGCGTTAGCTGCCAGCATCACGCCTCGAGAGAATGTGGACTCAATTCTGTCGTCAATTGTTCCTAAGAAGCAATCCAGGCAAGTGGTCGACCTACCGACGCCCACAGTGGAACTAAATGAAGAACTGTATGTGATGAGTTTTGATGGGTCGGCCCGGGTGAAACAAGTGGGAGGTGCTTGCAGCGCTATGGTGTGGAGACTTCCTGTATGGACTATAGTCGCAGCTGCATCGAAATATCTCGACAAGTCTACGGTGAATGAAGATGAATATGAGGGCATGTTACTGGGCTTTGACCTGTTGGATCCAATGGAGCGACGGCGTTTGATTATTTGTGGAGACTCCAATCTGGTTATAAGACAGATGCGTGGAGAGATTGAATGCAAAGCTTCAGGTCTATCCCCGTTGCGGGCCAAGGCGTTGAGTAAGCTCCAGTCGTGGCCCACCCAGGCAGTCCTACATGTGAAACGAGACTGGAATCAGAGCGCAGACCAGTTGGCCAGTACAGCTTTACATCAGCAGCAAGGGGTCGAGTCGATACCAAGAGGAGAGTGGTCAGGTCTAGAAACAATCAATCGGCTCCCAGAGATGTTGGTCCGTAGAGACCGGGGTCAGTCGGTCAAGGTATCTGCGGTGACGAGATCACGGTTCCCTGTCAGAATATCGGGATAGGTCATGCAAGAAGATGTGATACAACAACTCCGGATGGATAGGATCCGAGATGCGCAAAAATAGGAGAGCTGTGAACGACAACAGTTCTATCAGCACTCAACGGCGAAGACACCGGCCCGAGAAGGTCGGTCAAGGACACCTCTCTACATGGAGAGGCACCCGAAGGCGCGACGGCGATCGAAGTCGGCTCTTTAGACGGTGGGTCAGCGGACGGTGGGTCAGCAGATGGAAGGGTAAAACCAGGGGCGATTGAAGGCGCTGGGGCGACCGAGGTCGGCTCTTCAGACGGTGGATCAGCGGACGGTGGGTCAGCATGCGGTGGGTCAGAACCAGGGGAAGACATGGCTGGACAGACACGAGTTAGAGATGGATGAGAAACAAATAGGACAGTAAAGGACCTACGTGACGAAGGAAGTGAAGACATGCGCGTGCTCAATCCGTTGTACGGTTGAGCAAGTGCAGGGGGCGGCTGTAGTGAAGTGCTAATGTGGTGATGGGGAGGTCCTCGACTCCAGTTGGATTTGGAGTATAGGCCGTGGGTCAGGGACAGGGTACCAGAGAGACAGGGGCCTCGAAGGGGAGCGACCGTTGGTGGAGGACAATCCGCCGGATCCGCCGAAGAAAAATCAGTATCAGGGTACCGGTTAACCGGTACCAAAGAGAGTTGATCATGGCCGCTCATTGATCGACCTGGCCCCTCGTTGGTAGACCCGGTCCCTCATCGGTCGACCTGGGTCCCTCGTTGGTCGACCCGGTCCCTCATTGGTCGACCCGGTCCCTCATTGGTCGACCCGGTCCCTCGTTGGTCGACCCGGTCCCTCATTGGTCGACCTCGGCCCCTCGGGGTTCAGCCACTCCGGACCAGTTAATACAAGGATCAGACTAGTCGACGCAAGGAATCAGTGCTTCAGGCAAGGATAGAGTAAAGGAGTTAAAAGGATAGGACTATATAAAATACTACTCAATTTGCGTTCTACGTGGCACGACTCCGTCACCCAAGAAGGACTTGTTCTAAGTTACTCACTGTTCCGGAAAGGGATATATTTTGGCCCCCCGTCGAATACAGTTGCGTAGCGAAGCTCAAGGGCGGATAGAGCTCCAGGATATATTTGGCCTGTGAGCTCGTTCGAGTAGCAACACCCCCCCCCCCAAGACCCGCTATCGGAAGCGGTCTCCCTCACCTCAAGGTCCGGGAGCAACGTAAAGGTCAGGTGGTTAATACCCCTGAAACAAGAAGGAAAAGGCCAGGGACGACAAGCGCCCCTGAAGAATTTGGCTCTAAGTCCACTCTCGACAAGGTCGATCGAGTGGCCACCTACCGGCCCACCGAGTGAAGATATCCACTCGAGGCCCCCCAGGTCTACCTCCCTCAAGGCCGACATCTACATCGTCACCAAGTCCTCCGAAGAGTGCAACCCGCCAGCCGACGGGTACACAAGGTGAGAGAAGGTTCATACGCGGCATCGGGGTACCCCCTCCGACAGTCGGCAGTCCGGCACAGTGAGTGGTTTGGGGTCTCATCATACAATTTTGAGAACCCACTCCACCACACTTTTGCAGCCTTACGTGAAGGAATATCCTTCACGACGACACGCGTTCCAGCATCTTACGAGGGCGCACAATGATCGTTGCAGCGCATCGTCTGTGTACGCGTTGTTAGTGACCTTGCTCCTCGCTTCACGGTATCACGTGAGGAGCGTCTCCATGGTTTGAAGTGATTCTGAATGATCATTTCTGTTAAGGCTGTACAGGACCCACGGCTTCAAGTCTTCGTCTATGACTTGCATGGTAGCGGAGCTGCACAGCTCTTTAGCCAGAGGAAGACTTTCGGCTGGAAGCCTCTTAGTTCTAGAGAACTAAATAGAATTAAGGCTAAAAGCCACTTAGTTCTAAGTAACTAATGAAACGACTTAAAAGTCACCCTGTTCTAAGGAAGTAGGAGAGACTTTTAGTCAAGCAATAAGCTTAAAGTTCAGAGAACCAACGCACAGAGTGCAAGAACAAGCTAGAAGCTTAGAGGTTCAGAAAACCAACGCACGAAGTGCACAAGAGAACAAGTCAGAACGACTTGCGATCTTAAACTCAAAAGGAAAACTGATTTTATTTATGCTTTAAGATTTTATTAATAGTCCTACTCTAAGTACACTACACTAGATTAAATATGATTTATCGAATCCCAATCGATAAGATACGGTATTACTGAATACCGTATCTCCCTTAACGCTCATACTTAATACCTCTCTAAAGAGAAGTATAATAATGCATTATATGCAATACAAAGGGAAGTTTAACCGTAAACTCTCGGAAAGACGCTACAACCGTCGTGTAACCCCGTTACATGCATCCTATAATTGCACAACCGAGAAGGGGTTTGAAATCGTACCGGTATCGTACCCGTACTTTTACCATACGGAAAATCTGTGCGGCATAGAACGGTATTGTTGGCTGACAGATCGGTTTTCAAATTTTACATAGCTGGTGGTTCTTACTTGTAGCCTCGAAACGAATAATGTATGGCACGCGTTAATAATGTACAGGTCATCCATTTTTGCTTTTTTTACCTTCTAACCTTGGTCACAGACACGCAATATATTGTAAGCCGATGCGACATTTATCTCCTACAGCGTCTAGAGTCCTTCTTGTACATTGCATATTGAAGCGGTCAAGAACTTGGTAATCAAATTCCGTAAGATGACAGATATCTGGAAGCTCAAATGAACGAATTGAAAAAGGCAAGAGGTACTGTTTATTGCTCAAACTGTGGCTAGTTCTAAAGCTCTGCCTTTTTGGCCTCGGTGTAAGCCAAGTGGAACACGTCAACAACTTCTGCTGTATGCTGGAGCAGAAACGAAAGTGAGAGTATCCCTGCTCTTTCTTCAAACTGTATCTGCATTGCCCGTCCAATGGCTTTGTCACTTGGGTAAAGCTCGAGTGATTGTTGAGCTTTCGCATGCACAACCTCTGACCTATTTGATCGTGTAGCTGCTGATACATCATCCACAAGTGACCGTCGATATTTCCGCCAAATGTGCCAAGCTGTTTTTACGTGCTCCTTCTCAACTCGCTCCCGAATCTCGTTCATACCCTCACTCTCTTTCCCAAGCCACTGCAGCACACAGCGTTTCTCATATCGCCTAGCAAACAAACACAGCTCATGCTTCTTTCCGCATTTCTCCTGTTCATCCACTTCTACGCTCTTCAGCTTTTCGACACAGAAAAACCACTTTTTTGCCGTCGTCCTATGAGGAAACGACACAAACATTTCGGCACGCTTGAATCCCACACGCAAAGCCGTCTTCTCCATAGTGTCCACGTACGTCAAACTTGATGGGTAAACTTGAAAAATCGCTCGAGTATTTTGCATACCAGAAAGTTGTTTCAACAGCGACGAGAAACAAATCTCGAGCCCCTCTGATTGCATCCATTGCAACATAGAGATCCCAATTGCAGCATCCAGAAGTCCGTCTCGAATTGGCAATTTTTGTTCAGCATTGCCACAATAAAAATCAGCACACACTTGAGTCTCGTGAGACTCATGTTCCTCTTCCTGTAAAGCTAGAGACAACATCGGCACACTGATGTCGAACGCCAAGATAAAAACTGCGATTTCTCTCTCTCTGAACCACTCCTGAGCTGCTTTTGTGCTCAACCCGGAGCCTGCACCCAAGTCTAACAGAAAGAAAACATTATCCTTTGTAGTAGAATGCGTCAATTCCTTCGACTCCAATTGCAACAGCTTCAGGGCATGTCTTGTCATATCTTTCTGAATACTGGCATTTGCTGGTGTAGTGTAGACACTGGACTGCTTCTCATTGTAGAAATCGTATGCTGCGGCTAACACCGACGCATTGCCGCGTTCCTCTGGTCTCTGGTTTTTGAACGGCATCGCCACTCAGAATATGTAGCACCTCGGTAAGTACCGCTTGTATAAATAACTGAGCATTACATTGCTGGTTCTAAGCTCAAGCGTCCTGCATTCATAAGCTCAGCTTGATACGCGTAAAAATAATGTTTGGTCTCTCGGCGATTGATCATTCGCATTTTCAACATTATCGGCTGTTGCTGTTTCGACGTGGTCGGAACGACGGGAGCGTGACCGCCAAGTGAATGTCGAGTGCCAAGCGTCGCACCGAAAGAGCAGCATCAAACCGACAATAGGTGACACGCAAACTAACACTGCAACACCAGCTGCTGCACCACCGATGACGACACCTATAGCCACAAGTCCTAATGCCAACACGACTGGCGCAAGCAGGACGTAGCCGGATGCGCAAAAACAAGTAGTGAACGCTTGCCGGAAGGTGAGACGACTTTTTGCTGTGCACGGATAGAAGCAACAACAGAGAACGCAAAATACCACAGCCAGCACAAATGCTGGCGGCCCAAATATCACAAAGAACAGCACCCGTAGTGCCACGCCAATACTTTTGTGGCCAACGCCTTGTCTCTCGAAGTCTACCATTTGATTGCCTGCGCAGCCACGGACATTCCACCACTGCAGCAGCAACACCAGTAGAATATTACAACTCGTTAGTTAGCATGCTACTCAGATGAGGATCCACACTGTGAAAATACGCCATAATCACAATACCTGAAAGTGTTCCGGAAATACACTATCATCAATGATCTTCAGACAGATCCAGCAGAAACTAGTGCTACAGATCACACATTTCATCTGATTGCAGCCGCCAGTCTTCTCGACGTTATTCTGACAACCAGGGCACGGTTTGGAGATCTTACTAATCAGCGCGTTGTTTAGCTTCTCCACAGCGATCATCTTCTTGTCGTACTCAGCACAAGTGCGACCTTGGTGAGCACTGCTGTGTACGAAACAAAATTCACCATTGCAGGCTTCACATGCGCACTCCGGATACTCACTACCTGCACACAACTGCGAATGGTCGCAGTACGGGCACTGCCGGGCAAGTTCGTGCTCCTTATTAAACTTAAACTTGCTGTACTTCTGCCAAACCTCCTCCGAAACCAATGATCGAATATCGTTCACCAAGATATCAGCCTTACACGTTGTCTTATCCTCCAATTTCTCAAAAAAGCATTTCGGATACACTTGTCCCTCTTTAACCTTGAATTCCAAATAACTTTTTAAGCACGTTTCACAAAAAGTATGTCCACATATCGAAAGTACATACAACGTGTTCATCGGTGCATAGTCGTAGCAGATCTGACACAAGAAGGTTTCCTCCATCGAAAATCTCAGGAAGTTTGCCATAGACCTTAACAAGCTAGGCACTGAACGTCCTAGACTATTGCTCTCCTGCCTTCTGTACAAACCTACACTCTCCCTCTCCACAAATTCCTCCACAACGATAGATTCTTGCTGACTAGAAGCCGCAACCGCGACTGACAAGTCTTCGCTACTAGTCTCTTCATCTCCCATTGCTGCATCCAGTTCAATTAATCTCTTCCTTGACAGCGGCAACGAACGTCCGCGATCTCTTATACTGGAACGAGTCATAGCTCCCAAAGTGAGCCCCGTAGTAGCTCGCATCAGTCGAGGCATTTGATCCCAACTACCTCTTCCTGTCTCTTCCATCGCCTCGTTCTCCATCATAGGAATTGACCCTCGAGGAGGCGGCATCAGTTCTAATTCTTGCTGGGCATGATTTTCTTCGACGATAAAACGGGGTTCAAATTTCACGGCAGCTGCAGACGCCACTTGGTATCGAGATGAATGACCTTCACTTTTTAGTGGCAACGCAGCAATCTGATCCTCAATAGCTATCAATAGTGAAGCAATATGATCGGTCCATGCCTTTGGTGCCTCTTGTTGTTCAACTTCCTGTTGCCATTGCAATTTATTCAGCTGCTCATACCAACGCATACGCTCGTCCTCATTAGAAAAAGTCTGTAGCTGCTGCAATGAGCTGTAGAGAGCCGCTAAGTGTGCGATACGAGTGCAAGTCGAAGCTGTGGGCTTCATTGCTACTGAATTGGCACAATAGTAGCTACTGGGCAAATATGAATTCTGATTGGTGGATATTTGACGTTTATTTTCAGCTTGGCTAGTGCAACGAACTGCAAATTCTCATCGTGAACCTGCAGTGCAAAATGATGGTTACACAACTGTGTGGTAACACAAAAACCAGCCTTTTATCCAGAATAACGAGTCTACATGTCAGTCATTAAAATAGTACAAGTTTTATCTATAAAAACACAAGAAAAGACGGACTTCTCCGATTATGTCCGTTTCAGTTATTATATTTAGAAGGAGAAAAAGTAAACGTACGATCCGGAAGCCTCCAGTCTCGTATTGCAGAATATTTCAAAAAGTTAGAAATTGAGAGAGAAGCGATGTTAACAGTCGTGCGTTCCATTCAAAAGCCCGTGGTAAGCACAGGACTACGTGCCTTGAGCGTGCCAGCCTATAAGCCAGACCTCAAGTCTCAGGCAGTCAAGCCAAAGGTGCGTATAGAGGCTACGTGTGGTTTTTTCCTTGTTGTGAGTTATACAGACAGAGTTGCTAATGTGGAATATTCGAGTAGAATATCAAGTATTTCAAGATTTATCGCTGGGATCCCGAGTCGAAAGAGAAGCCATATCAATGCACATATCCCGTGGATCTAGACGAGTACGTGGTGCTAAGAGGAGGGAGAAATGAGAGAGGGGTTTTATTCCCGAGCGATTGATTAATGATGTGGACATTTGTAGATGCGGCCCTATGGTCTTGGACGCTCTTATTAAAATCAAGAGCGAACAGGATCCGACGCTGACGTTTCGTCGGTGCGATACTCTACAGTGATGTGGTCGTAGGAAGGAATAGTGAGTTACTGACGATGAATTGTGTCATTTAATCTGTTTACAGCTCGTGTCGTGAGGGAATTTGCGGCTCGTGTGCCATGAATATCGACGGTGGAAACACACTGGCGTGTCTGAGCCCCATTAAAAAGGGTGACGACGTGATCAGCATTCATCCGTTGCCACATATGTTTGTCATCCGTGACTTGGTGCCGGACATGACTAACTTTTACGACCAGTACACGTCTATCAAGCCGTGGCTGCACTCGGATAAGCCTAGTGATGTCAATCACGAGCACCTGCAATCTATTGAGGACCGTAAGAAACTTGACGGCATGTACGAGTGCATCCTGTGCGCGTGCTGCAGTACCTCGTGTCCTAGCTATTGGTGGAATCCGGACAAGTACTTAGGCCCCGCTGGTACGTTGCAATTGTTTTATTGTGTGACTGGAAGCAGATTTTGAGTAGATGTTTGCTTGTTTTGCCAACAGTGTTGATGCAAGCGTTTCGCTGGATTGAAGACTCGCGTGACGACAAGACGGAGGAGCGTCTGCGCGCGTTGGACGATTCGTTCAAGCTGTACAAGTGCCACACTATCATGAACTGCACGCGCACATGTCCAAAAGGGCTGAACCCGGCTCAGGCTATCGCCAAGATTAAGACCCGACTCGCCAGCATGCACTAAGGCAAGCCAGGCGGCTGACCACCCGCAGGGTCTCATACAAAGTAGCAGCACAAAAACGCATATGCTGTAGCGATAGCGTTTCTGCTGGGCTGCCGTGGCCACCCGATTGCAGTGTTGGTCAAGGATGCATGATTGAAAATAAATTCACACTCACTCGAGCGAAGGTGATCATGGTGATGTTACGCGTTTTGAACGCGGTTAAACGATTGGAAACGCAAGCGCGTAGCTGTGAGCGTGTCTGGCTTCGAGCGGCTTTGTATTGAAAGCATTTTCATGTTTGTTTATTACCGTGGCAGGTTTACCTATTGGCTGGCCTGCCGGCCTAGCGCCACCAATGCAACGCTGCAAGCCAAAATCATATCTAATCGTCCTCTTCAACTTTGAGCACTTCACTGACACTGAGAGGAAAAACTAAAAGAAAAGCGATGTAGTGAAAGGCGTAAATGCCTTTTGTCGGAAGGGGTCCCGGCCCCAATTCCCTTCCGCGTCTGGCCTGCGACGCCAGCTAGTCGAGCTCGCAGAATTGATCATACATTACAGCTACAGCAGGACGCTCCCATCATACTGTCGCACTCACTCGCTGGTTCACGAACGCCGGTCCGTGACGAATTTTCATCAGAGTCGTCTTCGTGCACGTCTTGAGAAAATTGACTGTCTTCTTCACCCCCATGGTAGATGTATTGCGGCCGTTGATCTCGACGATCACGTCACCTACGCAAACGTGCCGCAGTAGCTCACAACACGGCTCGTGGCATACGCTCATCACCAACGGGTAGGTGCCCTTGGCAAAACGTACCTCCTTTAGCTGCAAACCAATGCTCCGATTTTCCTTCCACTTAATAAGAAATGTCGTACTGTCAGGAGTATCTGCCATTGTCAGCTTTGGTTTTGGCCGGCCACGCACTTGAATGGTCGTGTTCACAGCATTCGGAGCGACTAGCGGAACCGTTAAAGCATCATCTTCACTGAGTGCCGGCAGCTTCGCGACACCACGACCAGTCTTGCCCTTTTTCTTGTACTTAGCCAAATTGGCGCTCAGGGATGACTTATTTGGTTTCGGCACATTTGCTGAATCCATCTTGCTTTTAGGAGCTTCCCGCATCATAATATCGCTCTCCACACTATCGATATCACGAGAAATGTCCGGGTCTTGTGAAAACTCATCCGATGGGTCAGATGCGTCTGCAAAGTCAACTTTGGAGGTATCGGCAGCGTTATCGACTAAAGTGCTCCCGCCACTCGAAGACATGGCTTCGTCGTGTGAAGAACTTACGTTACTACTGTGGTGATGTGTCTTCTGACCGTCAGATTCTGGTTCGAGATCCCATGGGCTTGTGTTCTGGTCACTTCCCGACTCACTGATCTCTGCAACTTCCGACTCCGCCTCCTCAACAGCAATTCCCATTTCAACATCCCCAAGCATATCTACTTCTTCGGCAGGTCCGTCTTCTTCAGCCAATTCTGCTTTTACAAACTCAGCTTCGTCAAGCAATTCTGTTCCCTCTGTCAACTCGGCATCGTCAGCAAGTTCCGCTTCTACAGCGAAATCTGCTTCTTTAGCCATAACAACGTGATCCATATCAATGGCAGCGCTTGGTGACAAAGACACGCCGACATCAACATCTTCATCTACGTCAATTGCCCACGCCTGAAGAATCTTCGGCGGTGATATCTGCTCTGGCAAATCCCAGGGTTCAGTCGGTGACAGATGTGTTAATGTGCTGACCGGGGACAACACTGGTTCCTCTTCATGCCCAGCAGTTGGTGACTTTTGGTTTTGTCGTTGCTCTTCACTACTGTTGCGACTTCGATTACCACAAACGTTCTCGAAAATACTTCTCTTTGGTGACTGAACAGCCACTTTCTCCACCTCATCGGAAAAGTCTGCAAAAGGCGCTTCATCAGCATCCTTCACAAGAGATGGCGGTGCCAGATCGCTTGCTTCATCGGTGATCTCCGTTTCAACAATCGGCGAGATTGGTGAAGCCAACGGCGAGCTGCTTACCTTAGGAGAGCTGCCCATGTTTGGCGACGCGCTAGGCGATCTACCAAAGTTTGCTGAGCTCCGTGCCAAGCTGGCTTTGGGTGACACTTCGTAGTTAGTACTCGGGACATTTTCTGCTAGATCACGTTGCCGTGTGTTTGCGTGATCATTTAACATTACTGGGGAGCTTGGAGGAGGTGTATGCCCGTGCCCTATAGCTGCACACTTTGCACTGGAGCTAAGAGCACGATTACGGTGAGGCGTTATGCCCTCGGCGGGTGATGATAATACCGACTGGGACGTGCCCAGTGTGACAGATTGTTGGCGTTGCTGTTCCTCAAATTGCTGCAACTCTCTTTGCTGCTGCTGCAGCTCGCGTAGCTCCTGGTCTCGTTTTCGCTCACGAATCTGCTGCTCACGTTGTTGTTCTCGCTGTTGCTGCTCGCGAAGCTGCTGCTCGCGAAACTTCTGCTCTTGTTCACGTAGCTGTTGCTGTTCACGCTCCTGCTGTTCGCGTAGTTTATACAACTCCCGCTTCTGCTCTTGCTCACGCATTTGCTGCTGTCGTTGTTGAAGCTGCTGCTGCTGCTGCTGCTCTTGCTGTTGACGCTGCTGTTGCTGCTCGTTCTGATGACGCTGCTGTTGTTGTTGCTCTCCTTGCTTTATAATGACAGCTTGATCAGTCGGTTGTCTTCGCCGAAATACCAGCCGTACAGGTTTATTCATCTGCTGGAGGCGGCCAAAAAATGCCTCGAACGTGTAATCTGCTGACTTAATGCCATTGGCCGACACCAGCGTATCGTTGACAGCAACAGCGCGTCGCACCACCGGATTCGCGCTCGGTAATCGTGTCACAACAGGCAAATTTGTCGACCGGTTCTCTCCGAAAAACAGACCCAACGGCCCAGTTTCCCAGTACACCTGATACTCATGTGGTCCAAGAGGTGAGACCGAGGAATGACCCCCAGACGTATTCGCCAGTGTAGCGTCTTGCGGTGAAACCTGGGGATCTTTATTGCTCGGCCCCCGACGTTGTCCGTGCGACGTTGGTGTGCGATCGCTTCCTCCGTTTTTCCCGTGTGGTCCAGCTGCCTGCGATGAGTTGCCTGGAATGCCCGATTCCTTGGCTCCCGTGGCCCTCCAAAACGCCCCTCGTGTCGCTTTGGATGGTTTCCGGTCTTTCTGCGATACCGAGTTGGCTCTTTGCATTTTGTTTGTCAGATCTGCGTCGTCAACATGAGGAACGACGTTCTGTCTTGCATACTGACTAGCACTATTTAGGGCATTCGTCGAGTTCGAGCGCTGGACATTAAATTGTTGCGCGGTGTCGTCCTCATCGGACGACGGCGTGCTGGCCGATAGCCGTTCGAACCGTAACAGCACAGGTTTCTTCATCGTAGCCAAGATCTTGAAAAAGTCAGAAAACGAGTGATCTTTTGACCGCACAACGTTTACAAACTTGAGAATATCACCCTGACTTACAGCAGATGAGATGCACGATTCCGTGGCTTTCGAGATATATGGAATTCCGTCCTTCTCGGATTCCAGAAAAATTACACCCAATACACCTCGTTCCCATAATACCTCATACTCATTCTCTCCCAATGGTGGCAGTTTCTCCCTAATCTTGTCGGCCCACGTGGCACGACGCACGGAACTCCCCCTATCCCGGGGGACGACAAATTGCTATGAGACGCTGTGGAATTGCTTGACTGGCTAGAGAATAAAGGACCACCGCGAAAATTTTTACGAGACATTTTCTTCATGGCCAACGTCGCCGTCGTCGCGAATGCTACGTCAATCAACTGTCCCTGTCACGCCGCTGGCAGCCGTAACAGTAAGTTTAATACCCTCCCGTTCTTCGGTTCTGGATGTCTTTAGGAAAGCAGCGACTAGACGGTCTCATACTAAGTACGATATGGATGAGACGAAACGAATATCGGTTACTTGGACAAAGGTACCGGTATTGATACTGTCTTTTTGACGACAGACGAGAGCAAGAGACCTTGCGTCAGAGGATCCTTTTTTATGCACATATGAAAATGTATAAGATTACTCTCAAGCACCAATCAGAAGATCGTTAAGAGTGGTACGAAGGTTATATATAGTATTTGTATGAAATGACAAGGGTTCGTGTGGTCGTCATGCCCTTTACCACGTGGGACAGCACCACTTATTGCTGCTTGGGTTTTGACAGGTCGCCATTAACCTCCCATAATAAAATGAAAAGAAACTTCTTGACGTGGTGCAAGACTTTTTTACTGCACTAAAAGGCGGTTTGGATAATATCTCTTGAGTTTGCAACAAAGTCCTTTCAAATGTTGTATAAAGTTGAGTACATTTCGACCAGTTGCTAAAACGTTGTCGGCTTTTCAAGACGTTGAAGAAGCATCTCGTTATGGTGACGAGTTGTCAGGTCTTGCTGCAACTGTTGCTCCTAGTGACGCTACTGCATGAATCAGTCGCGGAGAATTTTGCAGACTTGACGATTTCGTCACGAATGGCTCAGCTTATCAATTCAGGCGTAGAGTCACCAAAGCTTCAGCTCAATACAACGCTACCCGTTGAGGTGCAGTATCTACTGAGTCAAAAGGGTCTAGTGTGGAAAGAGTTGGGAGGGACAATGCAGCGATTAATGCTCTGGGACCAAGGCTATGTCGTCACGAATAATAACACGACGCGCGAGATCAAAGTACGCTGCAATCTTGGGATGGACGACGTGGTGGTTTTGCGGGATGAGTTTGTGAGACTGCACAATTGCTTGCCGACTGTGTGTGTCGACCCTGTGGGTTCTGGAACTTTGTGGAGAGGAACGGTCTGTGCTGGCAATCAGATCAAGCAGGTGGCTAAGTGTGCTGTTTTGGTGTCAGAGAGTGAAGCGACGGGATCGTCTGTGGACGTGGAGACAAGGCTAGTCTGGTCCGAAGAGGGCTACAATACGGATGTTCCGATGCCTAGGCTATGTCGTCACTCTTTGGATACTTTTGCAATCACAATGCAGACTCCTACTGGCGATGGAACCTGTCCACACCAGCTTGCACTTGTTATCCCTTGTACGACTGTTCAGTCCTCGGCAAATAGCAGTGAATGGTGCAAACCTCACAAGTCTGGTGTATTGGCAGGTCTGCTACAGGATCTCGCTGACTTGCGTCAAACAGAAGAGATGACAGACACTGGTTCTACCGGAATAATAATTGCCATTTGTGTGGTAGCATCTGCGGTCGCTATGGTACTATACGGACTTGGACTCGTTTGCGTTCGCCATATTCTTTTTGTTCGTAAACAACGGAAGCAATGGAGTGCTAGAGTGGATCTTATTGAGAAGTCAGGTCTAGAGGGTTGCGCTTTTACACCCGAAGGCGCATTCTTCGTGAACGCGAACTATGGTAACGATGCAATAGGTCCGATGTCGCTCGAGTTATTTGATTTTGAGGCTAAGTTGGGGCTTGAAGTTCGAAAAAGACATTCGAATGCTTCGGGGCATTCAGAAGTTAATTATTCGGACGCCCTTGGTACTTCAGGAGTGTTGTTTCGGTTTCAGAATGACCCTGTCGTCCTTGCATTGCGTGTTCCCATCATTGACGTGAATGGTGACAAATTGATTTTTCGTGGCATTTATGGTTCACCAAATGAGTTACTGGTTGGAAGTCTTGACTCCCGCGCGGTTGTTCTCAAGCGATTGCAGCTGTCGAAGCGAAATGATATTAGCGCTGTCGAACGCCTTGCTCGTGAAATTTGCGTTGCTGCTAGATTAGAGCACCCTAACATCGTTAACATAGTGGGAATTGCCTGGGACTCTTTTCAGAATCTCGTGGCAATCTGGGAGTATCATCGCAGTGGTGACTTACGGCGTGCACTGCAAAGTGAGAAAAAGGCTCGAGACTGGACGTGGACCCAACAAAAACTGCAGATTGCCGTGGGGATACTGCGAGGTTTGTCGTTTCTTCACGCACAGTCACCCCCGATTATCCATGGTGCAATTGAACCACGCCACATTTTGCTAGATTCAGCAACAGGAGGGCCGGCGCTTTGTGGATTTGGTTGCTGTGCTGGTCGAGCTTCTAGTGCTAATTGCGAAGACAGCTCTACAGGCAGTCAAGCTGATGCAGGTAGCATCTGGAGTAGCCCGGAAGTCTTGACAGATGGCGATTTTTCTGAGAAGTCGGACGTCTATTCATTTGGCGTGATGTTGGTGGCACTAGACACAGGTAAAGTGTTAGAAGATGTTTCCAGTGATGGCCTGCTGAAGTTGCTGACGCCGTTATGCCCCGGATTTATTCGCGAGATTGCACACGGCTGCCTCCAGAGTGATCCGGTGGAACGTCCAATGGTACAAGTGTTACTGCGTTACCTCGAAGAAGGTTCCAACTCAAGCTCTGTGACGAAAAAGCCCTGAATTAAACGACCGATAACATTTCTGGTGATAAATGAGTCCCGAGAAACCATAGAGCGACGTGAACACGTTGCAAGCAGCAGCTGGAGACTGTCTCTATATGTACATTAGTGGGTTATCAAGTGATCAATTGGAGACATCGTGGGTGCCTTAAATGGGTCTCGCGACAAGCAGATACTCTTGTGAAAACATATTAGCTGCATACTTGACCGCGGTCTAAAACAGAAACAAAAGTCCCTGGTGCACCGCGAACATTACGCTTCGAGCTTTGATTCCGGTACTTCGTGAAATAACTTCTTATTTTACGCGTAATACAGCGCCATTCGGTACATTTGAAAGGAATTCACAATACATGTAAAACACTGTAAGGTGGGTCTTCTTACCCGATGAACTCTTTACAAGTCCGAAAAGAACTTCTCGTTGGCCGTAGGGATTACCCGACGACCTCCAGCCAAGTTGTTTTCCACGGAGGAATCATTGCTATCACTATCGCTGTCACTATCGGCATCCTGCATGTCAGCATCCATGGGAATTCTGGCAAGAGACTTCTCCTCATTTTCATTCGCTGCGTCACCTTCTTCACCATCATCTTCCTCGAAAAGATATCCGACATCCCAGAAGTGCACCTTGTTGGTGTGCGAGACGCTACCAATGATTTTTTTGTCATAAGACAACTTTAGGTTTTCCACGGGAAAGTCTTCGTGATCGCCAATCAGTCCCAGAAGTTTGTTTGGGTGAAGCTGCACCACACTATAACATCATACGAAGTAGAACAAACGATCAGCACTTTGTGTTTCGACATATAGTACAGAATAGGCCAACGACAACATACCGAACAATGCCATCACTTGATCCCGTGAGTACGGTATCTTCATCTACCTTAAGCAGAGCATCAACAGAGTCTGGGTGGCCAGGAAAACGGTCGGACATATCTCCCCAGGTACCCCAGCTGAAAATCACCAGCACACCATTTTGTGAGCCGCATACAATCTTTCGGCCGTTTTTAATCACTGCGACAGATAGCAGTTCATCGTTGAGCTCGTCGCTTTTGCCTGCAAGGACATTCTTACGCAAGTCGTAGGCGGTCAAACGTCCATCGCCACTCGTTGCTAGTAAATGGTCCTGCGCTGGGTTCGTCGCGAAACCAGAAATATAGTCCTGCAAGAAACAATGCACCCGTAAATTATACGAGATTATCTGCAAAAGCAGGAAAGGAAGAGCCGCACCGTGTGCTCCTTGAACTCTGCCAGACAGCGATGCTGCCGTGTGTCCCAGATTTTGATGCACCCTTGGTCGTCACCGCTTGCAAATACATTTGCCGATAGCTCGTGAAGACGGTTTACTGGGTGGCTGTAAAAACAAACAGCAATAAGAGCGTTATCCTGCTATCGTAACAATAGTCCTACTCTCTCTCTCTCTCTCTCTCTCTCTCTTCTTACTCGTGCGCTCGCATCTCCGCCCACGTTGGATTTCCAAGCGTGTCGAAAGCACGAATAGATTTGTCAGCCGATGCTGTATACAGAGCTGCACAAATGAATCACCCCACCCAATAACCGTCAGCATCAGGATAATACAAAAGGATGTCTAAAAATGCTTGGTACTTTGTCCATCCGGAGCGAAAAATAGCGCTCGCACAGCTTCTTGATGATTTTTCAGCTCTAAAACCTTCGAATTGGTCTCTTCCGAGTACTTGTAACTACACACACAAAGGCCAAATTTTCAGTAGCTCTTTCCACTACACAACGATATTGACAAAAGCTCGTACATTTGCACAATACCATCGATGCAGCCTACAGCAACAATGTTTGTTAATGGATGAAAATCAATGTCAAATACTTGACGATCGCAGTAAATCTCATCAGGCGTGTGATCGTCCAAGTCTTCCATATTAATCGACTCAATTTTGACTGGCTCACACGTTTTGAGAGTTTATATTGCAATTGTTGAACAAGAAAGCGACAATAAGCGCAAAAGTTTGCGTTAAATATGAAAATGGGAGGTTTACGAAAGCAGCTATTATGCAAAGCTCCAAGACGTTTAGTTACAGATAGTCTGAAAAAACCAGGTACTCTTCCATGTTGGTCATAGCTGGATTCCTCTGGTTGGCCAACTCGCGTGAAAGAGACGCAAACTTGGCCTTAATGCGCTGCTTCGGGATGTCAAAGCGCTTTCGATTACGTGCACTCTTAGCTCGATTCACTTCGACAATCATGCTTTGAGGCAAGCTCGGCAGTGCGGACGAGGAATAAGGCAGTCCAGCGGCCACCTTGTTACTGCTGTCCGCGATCACCATGTTACCCGAATGTCCATTGCTTACCAGCCAGTCCATTTGCGGCGCAGGGATCTTGTGAAGGGGCTTGCGACCCGAAGCTTTCTCCTTCAAAATGTCCATCAACACAGTCACATTGACGCGAAACTCATGTAGGAGCAGCTCGGGTGCCGGCACGTACTTGGATTGATTATCTCGCTTCTGGTTCGAGTGACCACCCTTCCCGATTACCTGCACGAGCTTGTCCAGTTGCGCCATACCGGCATCACCTAGATCAACGCGGTTGCGGTGATGGCGACGCTGTTGACGCTCCTTGGCGCTGCGTTTCACATCCACGATATAATCCTTGTTGAAAAAGTCAAATATGACACTCGCCGTCTGCTCGGATTTGTCTAGCGAAAGCGACTCGACGATCGTCGCCGACTGTTTCATGCAAGGGCACAAGAAGCGATGTAGCTCTGCGCGCGATTCTCGCTCATAGTGACGCTGACCTGGTGCGATGGCACCTGTTGGGCGTCGTTTCAACACCGCTGACACAGGACCAGCATTCCCAACGACACTTGCAACATTGCTGAGTCCGTCGGCGTGAAGTTTCTTGTCACACATTGACGCACGTCGTACGCTTTCCAAAATGACTTTCCATCCAAAGAGGTTTGTCAACGATGTTTCCCACAGCAGACGTTGCAGTCCAGTCAGGTTATAGCCGTCCAATATTGTCCTTGCATGGGCAAACCAATAGTCTCTCGAAGGCGAGCCAACATTTCTTGTCTCCTCCAAAGCACCTTGCGATCGATTGCAGTCGTTCTTCTCGTCCTGTATCTTCCGCCAAGCATAGAAGCTTTGCCACTTCTCGGACGAGAAGTCAAAGCTTTGCGCAAACTTAGACACTGATCGAAATGCGTACCCACTGATAGACACGCGGCCAGCGTAGAAAAGCTTCACCAAGTCAGAGCTAGACGCTTTGCCCGAGTAGATCCACAGAAAATCGTCCATCGAGATGGTCACTTCGCACGTAGGACGTACGCCGCTAGGACTCACGTTTTTGTGCGTAAACACCTGTTTCTTGTCATTAATTTCCACGGCGTATAAGGTCTTGGGCACGGCGTCGTCTGTGGTCTTGAACTTGAACAGGATCGTACCACCAAAGCTCGTACTGGGCTTGACACTAAACTTGAGAAACTCCATAACTTCATCAATCTCACGCTCTTTTTGAAGATCCACTGCAGGCAAACGGTTGGTAAACGTAGTCGCTGCATGCATCGCTTCATCCACGGCACGGTCTTGATCGTTCATTGAAACCGCCGTCGTCATGTTTGTAGCCAATAAGACAATAATGTAAATAGCTCTTCACCCAATATAACATTTACCTAGGGGTGAGGTTTATTTTGATTGGCGGGCAGCAGAAGTTAGTGTGCACCACAAAATAACTGCTGAAACGACGGCGATATCTACGCAGACGCGTCATAGTCAACGAATCTAGTACCGACTAAAAAGACATTTTTTTGAAAAACGATTAGCAAATAAATATCTATTTTTAGAAAAAATAAGCTAAAAATAGAAACTACACAATGTCCCACAATATCTTACTTCAACAAAGCCGTTTATGCGCTGACGCATGCGACTTGCGCTTGTAGAAATGACTGGATTTTCTCAACACGGCTGTCAATGGGCATGAAGCGTCTGAACTGCAAAGTGATTACTAACGCCCTAGACGTTGTTGTATTGAAAATCATTGTCACGAGACCAAATTGGCAGATAGAAGTGGTGCCGTTCGTTCCCTCCATGTGGAAGACTAGTCATCGTCTTACTTAGCGTAGCTGGTGTGTTGCTCGAACTTTCAGCTGGGGGATCGTGGGGATGTTTTCCAAAAAAATCTAGAACTGAATGGTGCAAATCATTGTCAAGATGCTGAAGTGTCAAGATGCTGCTCAAATGACAAGCTTTGACTTAATAAACGTCATGTAGAAGCCATAATGTTTTTAACATTATTGATACGTCTTGCTGGCATATAAGCTAGTTTGGTGTTATAGTGTTGGTTGCACTTGGTTTGTAGTTATTCTGTGAAGGGCCGACTCTACCCGTGTGATGCTCTTCACGAACTCAAGTAGACCCAAATAATTTTGTGACTGCTTCCTGAACAACTGACATGTTGTTGACTACTCTATGGTGTGGTAGTAAGATACCTGATGCTATACGTCACTTCCCAATTCGCGCCTTCGAGCAACAACGGCCAAGAGACGAAGACCTTCAAAGAGCCGGTCAACCGGCCCCCTCCGACCAGGGCGGGAAGTCTCTCCAACGGGAGGCCCAGGATAAGAGGGGGAGGTTTTCCCTCTGCTGCGTGCGCTATGGGGGGCAAGCGCAGCGTGCGAACCGTAAGGGGAGCACCAACCCTGTTAACCCCGGGTGGAGAGGATCGACGACCGCGGTTATCATTCCCTCTTTTTCTACTAGTTCCTGCTATTCTACGTCAGCCTTCAAGACGCCGATTCGATCGCCGAGCGCGAATCTCGGTCCCACGAAGTGAACTTGCCAAGAACGTGAATTGATCGGCCCCGTCCAGGTGCATCAGCGGTCGATCGGGACTGATCGGTGTGGTGCCCGGCGCTTGTTGCGATCATTGAGCCACTGTTTACACCTCGGGCTGGATACCCGATTCCACGTGCTCTTTTCGGAGTGTCCCCCGTGACGCCCGACGTCTCGAGCCAGCAGATTGAGCCAGCGAGGCGAAGAATGACGAAGTCCTGGTAGAAGCACTCCAGACATCTTACCAATCCTTAATGTTTGAAATAGACGGTCTGTTCTTCACCTGATGCTATACGTGCACTTGCAATTCGATGGTGTACGCTATTGTAACTTTCGAAATTTTAATATTGCTGGAGCCGCTGGGCTTCTTCTCTTTGATCTGCTTTATTTGTGGCAAAGACTGATGTTGCACTAGCAACTATATCAGCGGTACAGTCCACACCCTTTCAAAGAAAGTAACTCTTTACTCTCAGTAGTGTTCTAACAAAATGAGTAGTGCATAGGCGTTGCATTCTCCTACTCTTAAGACATATCTCTTTTCTTTAGCAGTGTTAAGAGATACATCCTGGAATGTCATCTTCACTCTTAAGATCCTGTCTATCATTTCGTTAGCATTGTGGCAACGCTCAAATTGTACCTTGTAATGGCATTCCCTGGATGTTGTTGTCGTCATTGTTTCAATTGGTCGGCCTATTCAAGTGACATCACGAAGCCTCCAATGCTTGTTCACCATCCCATAGAGCACACCGCGCTTTATGCTTCAAAATGATTGAATGGCATTGCTACATGCTAGTCAAGTGTCTAATGTGCCCATTGCGACATTTAGTAGTTTCACTCAACGTTTTGCTTGTAAGCTTTCACTAGCAAACAGGCCCCACCAAATCTGCGCGTAAAAACAAGTGAGATAATGCATTGAGCCGTTTAATGCTAAGCGTCTTCTTAGAAGATATGAACTAATTTTGTTTTAAGGAGTGCGGCTTCTCTATCAAGTTGTATTTCTGCTGGATTCGTACTGGGACGCAAGGTGTTCACATTTTCCTCCCACTTTTTTAACGGAACGACTTATCATATAGCCATTTTTTGTTCGCTGCCCTGACACGAGTAAGCTGGTTACAGGATGCGGTAGAGTCACTCGTTCTATTTTGGATTTATGCAAGAATCTCTATCGCATCATTTCCTTAGCGCGTTTTTTCAGGCTCGGAAGTATGAGATGACGCGCAGTCTAATGTTACTGCGTTGATGATCTAAAATTTGGCCTAGTACCTCAAACTATTGACGTGGTGAAACCATTTAAGTACATAACAAAGTGACCCCAACAAGTCGTGCAAAGCTTTTATTTAGAGAATTCTACGCAATTTTCGTCAAAATGCACCTTGATGTGACACTAATCGATACTAATCTTATTCATAAATAATAATCTTTTTCTTGATGTATCCGACAGTGACGGTGAGGTACCAGGTATTGATTGCGTAGATAACTAGTGGTTACCTCGAAGTTGCCTTTTTAATCCACACGCAGCACACCATCTTTACATAAATATCTATAAATTTATTAACCTGTTTATCTCTATTCCCCTTACAGTAAGTCCGTTTGCGCTGCCAATGAATAAAATCGAGATCCAATCTAAAATCTCCACGTCAAACCACAAACCGGAGCTTTTCGAAACCCCACGAGTCCCGTAAGTCAGTAGCCAGTCACTCACTCAGTCACTCAGTCAGTCATGCCCGAGACGTCTTCCCCCACGATTCAATCAGATGACACAACGACGTCACCAAGTATCGTAGGCAATACGTTTATGCGTCAATACTATCACTTTCTGGCCAAGGAACCACAGAGTTTGCATCGTTTTTACAAGGCCGAAAGTCGATGGTGCCATGGCGTTGGATCGCATATGGAAGAGCCTATTGCTGGTCAACGAGCGATTAATGACCAGATCTTAAAGCGTGGGTATGCAGGTGCCCGAGTGGACCTGGATGCAGGCTCAATTGACTGTCAAAACTCATTGGGTGGCGGTGTCTTTGTGCTTGTTACGGGTATCATGACGTTACGTAGTAGCCCCGAGCCCAAGCCGTTTGTTCAGACTTTTTTCCTTGCTGTGCAGCCTAAAGGATACTTTGTATTGAATGATTGTCTACGTTTCTTGGCCTTGTCAAATACTTTGTCGACTCCAGACGTGGACAAGGAGAAGAGTGTGGGGATGATAGAAAAGGACAAACAGACGGATACACACGTGTCGATGTCGCCTGTAGAAAAAGTACAGCAGGACATGAAGAAGAAGAAGACACAGGAAGACAAAGAGAATGAGACGTTTGTGTTTGTGTCACCGGAAAAGGCGACGTCGCCTGTCAAGAGTACGACGAAAGAAGACACGTCTGTGTCTCCTGTGAAGGCCGCGACGACGATTGCGTTGTCTCCTATAGAGAAGACGACGACAACAACGAAGGAGGAGGCACCGGCATTTGTCGCCAAGACACCGTCGCCTGTCGAGAAGCCGGATCAGACGCCAGTTGCTACTGCTTCGTCTGTTCCTGTTCCTGCACCGGCTGATCCTGTCGTGCCAGCCCCTGCAGAGCCTGAAAAGCCCAAGACGTGGGCTGCACTGTTCTCAGCCTCGAAGGCTGTTGCGTCCATCACGCCTTCTGCTGTTGCGTCTCCAGCTGCAACCCCTGCTAAGCCTGTGGCTGCCGTTACGCCTGCGCCGACTCCCGCCCCTGCTGTGATTTCTCCTACGTCTGGTGCGCTGGCGCCGGAGAAATCGCCCAAGAACAAGTCAAGCAATGGCAACGAGAAGGAAAAAGAGCATAAGCGAATGTACAGTCTTTTCATTCGCGACCTGCCGCCTCAGACGCGTGAGAATGACCTGCATGAGCTGTTCAAGGGATACGGCTCGATCGCTGGTGTGAACGTGGTGCTTCAGCGTAACTTCGCTTTCGTGGACTACTACGAACAGGAGAGCATGCGTGCTGCTCTCGCTGAGACGAAGGAGTTCAAGTTGTTTAACAAGGTTCTGCAGGTGACCGAGCGTGGCGACCGCAAGGAAGGACAACGCAGTGGCTTCCGTGGCAACGACTCGCGTGGTCGTGGCCGTGGTCACGGTCCCAAGAGTGGTCGCGGCGATCGCAAGGAGCGTAGCGGGGATGACGCTCCTCCCTCCAGCAAGGGCGAGAGACGTGATGGCTCGCGACGCGAGAAAACTGGCAGCCGCCGTGGTGGAAAGGTGGACGGCACGCCGCGAGCGGAGTAAAGCGGTTTAATATGTGCAGCAGCCGAGCTGTCGGGCACCATCGGTGAAGCAGACACTAGAGTTGAGAAGCCACTAACATTCAGGTTGTGAGCAGGGGTGAGAGCAGTGGAGAGGTACACACGAAAGGGAGAGCTCGTCACGTCAGCCACTGGGGACAAGTTGAAAAGCAAGTTAGTTTTCAGTTTGATAGGGTAGAGCAGCAAGCAGAGAGATTGGCAAACCAAATGACAAAACCAATGTCCGCTGTGAAACTGCAGTATCAGCACCAGAATGGTATCTCACCTATTTGATCGACTTGGGATGAATGAACACATGCCACGTGGCATGATGCCTACTTTGCAGCACGACAGATATGGGATAGAATAGCATCGAGAATCCATCCGATCCATTTTTTTGGACGTCTGCCCAACTTTGTACTAATAACTCTTTATGCAGATTGCCCTGGGCACCCGTGTACAATTGTTACTTCTGTCGACGCTGTAAGTGCACAGCATAGCTGCTATTGATGTCAGGTTGGATGCTTTATTGCACCACCTGAGCCTCTTTCAGCACACGAAGTGCTTTTTTCGTGTCACCTTTCTTCAGCAGCACATACACTAATAGCTCAAGCGATTCGCGACAATTTGGGTTTTCCCTCACAGCACGCGTCACGCTTTCTTCTGCTTCCGGGTTGCGTCCCTGCAACAGAAGTGAGGTTGCAGTATTCACATGGACACTAGCTCGGGCTCGTGACAACTGCATCAAAACACAACAGCACAGCGGTCAGACCTATCAGCACAAACTCTTTCGACCCTTACATAGGCTAACCTGGAGCTTTGCTTCCCGTGCGTACTCTTCAGCCATCTCAATCAAATCTCGCTCAGACTGTAACACATCCGTCGCTTCGGATGCCCGAGAAAGCAAGCATAGAGCCTCTGCAGTATACGATCGCGCCAAAAAGCTGTTTGCCTTCGAGCAAGTGGGCAAAGCCAGCAACTCCTTTGCACTTGTAATTGCAAGCTGAGGATCGTACATCGACAGATAGACATACGACAAGTTGATGAGAGCCTTTTGACGCAACATGTCAAGAGCCTCTGTGCCGAGAGCTTCGCTGTCGGTTGCATCAGCAACACCTACTGCAGTATCAACGTGTCCGTTCACATTTCTGGAACCCAAAAGTTGATTGCAAAGCAAAACTACGTTCTTGAAGCACTTTGCGCCAAATGGGAGACTCATTGTCGGTGAGCCATCTGTATCACCAGCATCGGTAGATGCCCCACGAGTACCATTGTCATTGCTGTTTTTCTCAGGGAGCTTAATGTCTTGCGATGCCGCAGACGGCAAGCTGGTGGGAAGCAGAACACGTCGGTGTGAACCAGTGCCTACAATTCCCTGAATCAAACCGCTTTTGTTTCCAGCTACTACTGCCAATTTCTGCTCCTTGGCAAATGCCGCCGTACAGCACTCCCCAAGGCGAAGCCACAGCTTGGGACGATTAAAGTACAGCCGCGACGACTCGTGGAAGCACCGGAACGCCAGCGCGTACTCGCCTTGAAGCAACAGGTGTAGACCATTATTGTACATAATTTCATGGTGGCAAGAACTTACAATGACAACCGCGTCCATCTTTGTGGCCCTTGTGGTAGCTTGCAGTGCTCTGGCAAAGTATGACTGTGCCGCCTTTCGCTGTCCCATTTGATAGTGGATGCAGCCCATATTATTCAACACAACACTCTGCAAGCAGTCACAAGCTCACAACAGTTAGATGCACCGTTCACTCGCGCCTTGGGCGCTGCAAACACCGATTGACGTACCTCGCTCACGGCCTTCTGTGTACACGATGCAAGAAGCTTAATACATTTCTTGTAGTTCTTCTTTAAATATTCCAGGTTCGCTTTCAAGAACAGCGCCGTGGAGTTCTGCACCACAAGGCACGGATGCCCAATAGCCGCGCTCGTTTTCTCTGACTCCATAGCAAGTGTAGATGACGATATCGCAGCAACATCTCCCCTATCGTGCGTCTTAATTTCCTTCTGGAAGATCTCCAGCGCAGACTTTACCTCTTTTTTCGCTGTCTTCAAGTTACACTGTAGCAGCATGAACTTGGCGCGATACAGATGCAGCCGAAAGCGAAACTCCGTGACATCCCATCGGCTCTTCCTCTGCGTCTCTGTCTCCACCACGTTGCCATTAGCGTCACGCTGTACCAAATGATCAGGTGGCTCATGCACCGTATTAAACCGATGCGGTTTGTCCAAAAACGCCAAAATGCTCTGTGCCTTCTTAATCGCCGTAGCACGCTCCCTCTCTGTACTTACGCATCCCCTGCTGCTGTGCAGAATGACGTCCAAATACAAAAAACTGGCGTGCATTGCCACATTTTCATCAATGGGATCCACATTGCGCATTACTGCTTCCAGCGCTGAGCTTGCCTGTGCGTACTGCTTGGAAAGGAACAAGGCGGCTGCATAGTTGTACCGCAGATAGGCCACCTCTCGTTCAATGGAGAAGGATCCACTGCTCTCTGCGACGGAAGCAGCAGCGTCTTCCCCGTTAATCGAATCTCCTGCAGCAGCTGGAGCAGATTTATTCTTCTTGTCGTGTTCCTGCAATTGCGTTCGAAGATTCTGCTTGAGCGCGAGCTGCAGCTGGTCAGGCGTGTCTAAACCCGCGGCAAAACGGGCCAGTGCCAGATTGTGGCGAACTTTAAAGTCTTGACGAGGATCAATTTCCTCCACAAGCTTCTCCAGTGCATCCACAGCTTCTTCGTATTTACCACCACTGCAATTTGAAACCCATGTATAATATCGGTTAATGTCAAAAACATTGTCAAAAATGGCAGCAACAGTGTCAACAATACAGCAAGACTCACTTATATTTCTGTTGGGCACGATGACTCAGCGACGATTTATTGTCCTTTGCACGAATTTCTCCCGACATTGACACAAAACTGTTGCAATCAATTGGAGATTCGTATCGTGTCGGTAATATACCGATTGTGCTTTATTATTTGCCTGCATGCATTTCGACAACAAAGTGTCAATAACGTTTTGTTCTGCAATACAGCGGCCACAACAAAGCTCCAATACAAGCAACAAGCCTGGATTTGGATAGAATAGACGCACCTCTTTGTACTGCTATTGCGCGTTGGTAATAGAGACGAGAGTGTCGATACAGGGGCGAGGCAATCGCTGGCAACTTTTTTTCTTATTTTCCTTTTGATCGGATATCTGAGTGTGTGGAGGTGAGGGGGATTAGAGAATAAGTCGACGAATTAGGGCATCAACCAATTAGATTAAGGCAATGTGAGACTTGTTTTCGAAACCGTCGGGATTGTATTGACAAAAGGTGCGTACTTGATTATAACTGATGAGAGGTAATTGTTGAAAAAGTGTGATTACTGGTAAAAACAACTTTTTGTGGTGAAACAAATACAGGCGCTTATGCAAACACGTTCTGCTGCTCCTCGTTGATGGACGTATCCTCGTCCATGGCTTCCAATGCGCTAAAGTTCATAAAGTGTGTCTTACGGTGGATCTCGTGGTAAAACTCCTTCGGATTGCCCAGCTTCAAGTCGTACTTCATGCCTGTATTATGCTTCACACCCATGAAATTGTAGTTCCACACCTCTTCTTCCGGCACCATGTAGAAACCCAGGAATCGATCGGACAATAGCATCTGCACCTTCTCGTAGTGGGTCGGAGCAAAGCCCGCTGGATTCGCGCCACTGTCTTTATTCTGGCGACCCCATTCATAGCCAGCCGGGGTCAGCTTGTACGCCGTCAAGGAGCATGAACCTGGGGTAAAGCTGCAAGTGATGAGAATACTTTTCTCACCATCCCATGACGTGTTCTCCGACATGATCTTCGAGTGAAAAGTTACATCCTGCGGTGGCAACCTCGGCAACTCGTTAGGCTGCGTGTGAATCCAGCCGAGAGCCTCCATGCCCTCCAGGTACTCGTGATCTGGCATGTGCAGCGGAATGGTCACGCTCTGGTGCGTACCAAGTTGCGGCGGCATTACAATACAGCGAATCTCCTTCACCTGCGGATTATCGGGCGGGCTAACACCATACATGAGACCGCAGATCTGCGTTCGCAGGTCTGACACAGTAATAAACTTATTGAGCACGTTCTTCGGCAGGACATACGTAAATCCAGTCTCCTTGATGTCGTCTGAGGACACGTAAATATGGTTCGTGCGCAGGTGTAGGTTTGTCGCCGAGATGGCACGTACGCGCCAATCCGTCTTTGAGGCAAACGAGTGCTGCTCGTATTGGCTGGTCGTGGTAACCACCATTTCATCACCGTGCTTGTTCACTGTCTTTGTCGTTACCGATGTAAGCTGGCTCTGCTCTCGCGCCTGTTGCTCAATTTCAGCAACTTGCTGCCGCTGCAAAGATGGCGCCGAAATCTCCATACCCAGAATAATATCACGGATCTCCGATTGGGTCAGTGAAGCTACATTCACATTATTCTTCTTTCCGTAGTCGCCCAGAATCAAATCCTTCAACTGCACCTCTATCTTCAGCCACTGCTCATCTGTCAGTGACGGCCAGATATGATGAGGCTGCGTTGTCGTTTCACCGTCGGGTCGCAGGATGATCTTCGTACGATCATTGCTCACGTGCAACGCGCGCAGAATCAAGATCAACCGAGAGAAAGCTGTGTACGACGTGATTGTGTTCAGCCAGTCGTCATAGATATTAAACAGTACCATTTGTGGCTCCGTCGCCTTCAAGATCAGATCGCCAAACTTTTCAACCTTCAAGCATGCTTGGAATGGCAGTTGCAGCTCACTACCCTTGATGACAATATTCGGGAAGTCTAACAGATGCACTTCAAGCGGATCCAGCATCCCCTTGCGCGTGACAATGATCTGTTTTGGCTGTTCTTCAACGGGCAGTGACCGAATGAGGGCCGCTACTTCTTCAGCAGTCTTCCACTTCGCCAGTTGCCCCAATCGCTTCTGACCTGCCCACACTGATGTGTGAATGATCTTTAGAAATAATTGACCAGTACGCGGGTTAAAGATGAAAATGGCACCATTGATGGGCTTTGTCGTCAGGTTGCCCTCGAACGTCTTGTGGATCGTCACTCGGTATACATTGGTGTCGTCCACGAACCAGATAATTTGGTTCGAGAACAGCTCGCCATAGTTCTGACTCGATAGATATGGTTCCGTCGGTTCAGAAGAGTATAGCTGTAAGCCCTTACGGATACGGTCGCGCAGCACATACAAGGCTGGGTTCGCTTTCATAATTTTAGCCATAGCTTGCTGCATGAGCGGCTTGCAGCCGGGAAACCAATTTCCATAACCACTGTACAAGTTATACGCTAGATCCACTGCAAGCAGCACACCTGTCGGCGACGGATAAATGGTCATGTTGTCCGTTGTGTAGTCCAAAAATTTGGCACGTGCATATCGCTCGATATCGTGAGAGTCGAAGTCACCCCACCGAAGCTGCACATCAATCCAGTACTTCGAGCTCGTCGAGCCATCATAGCTGTCCTTCGTGTCGTGCAACAGCGTTGGCCGGCCCATCTGCCACTTGTACGCAGCGAAAAGAAGAACATCCGCGCAAGACGAATTCATCTTGTAAGACTTACGCGGGTGAATTGTTTCCTTTTGGACGCTCTCAATCTCCAGCGCATCGAGCTCCTGGTCAAACACTGCATACAACAATAAACACAGCAGACACAAATTAGCACTTTGCGACATAAAACAGTTTTTTGATGGGCCATATCGCTTACCTTGGACTGCGCAACATACGTACAACAGAGGGAAAAGTTAGTAATCTCATAGTAATGCCAAAAACATCAAAGTGCAGTAACGAACCTAAATCCATAACCAAAGATTCGTGAATCTTTTGCCACAAATGTGCGCGGAAAATCTGGATCAGCGAAATCTTGAGCGTCGGGATTTTACCGTGCATGAAAATACCTGTCAAATCCAGTTGCACCTGGAAGCCTACATACACATTGGCGCGGTTGATCGTAGGAGACCACCACAGGGTGAATCGACGGTTGGGAATCTGGTTTAAACCCGACCGCTGCGCGTTCGTCAGCTTCTTGTACTTCATACTCTCTTCGAATCCAGAAGCTTTCTCCCAGAATAGACCTTCCCATGTGGGAAAGTATGTGCCTTTGAACAGTGTGTGCTCAAGAATGCCTTCAACACCACCCAGTGCCTGAATCATGTCCGTTCGATAGTTGTTCAAGTTCCACAGTTTGCCGTCGTGTCGTTGGTGGGTCCACCAGAACGGGTTCTGGCGCATTACCTGATAGCACTTAAAGCCCGTCCGCACACGCCAACCCTTGTCGTATGCCAGTGTGTGGCGGTCTTTTTGGAAAAGGGTGTTGATACGGGGAATACCGCGGTCCCAAGAGTCTTCTAAATCCTCCAATGTCAAGCGACGGTTCTGAGCGTTAGCTTCTTGCCGCTTCAAGGCGTACTCAGCCCACACACGCTGCGAGTCGATGAACTCAGACTCCCAAGGCTGCAAGTAGCGGAATAAGTTTGGAATCAGCTGGTCTTCCTCGTGGGACATACCCGAACGGAAGTGTGTCACACCACCACCGTCGGTTTGCTTCGTGTAGCGAAGGTCAGATTGAGGGATCAGAACGTGACCCATCGATAGCATGCCCAGACCTCCTAACTCTTTGGGCGTGTAAAATACCACGGGCGGGAATCGGGATGGCATCTTTGAGTTCAATCCGATCTTAATACGTGTCTGGATTTTGTTTTCACACTTGACTAAGAGGTCCAGAAGCTCCTGTGTCTGCACGACAGATTCGCGGTAGTATGTCATTAGTCCGATCAGTGCTGAATTCCACTTGTTTGCAACCTTGGTGAATGTTGTACTACCAGAAGACATCAAAATCTGGCGAACCCGATTCTCAAAAGAGTGAAATGACTCGTCGTCCACGCGGAGGTATGCCTGAGCTGTACGCTCCTTGGTGGTCTCATTTTGCAAAATCCACACTCCATCCTTGTGTGTGAACTCTGCATCAACTGCACGTATCTTGGGCAGAATACGCACTTCAAACCCGCACATGTTAAACAGCAAATTCGGATTATCCTTCGAGTACACTGACACAAAGCTATTGTCCCAGTCGAACGTAGTCATCGAGCGCGGCAAACGGTTCTTCATATCCCAAAACGTTGCCCTTCCGAGGTTCACATCGTGCTTCATCAGCCTCATGCGCGCATCACGAGGCCAGCACTTCTTGTTGTTGTATCCGACCACGTTTTCGTTGTTTGGATCCGGGTGCTCTGTTAAGTATCGTTGGATCAAGTCGCGAGAATCGTCAGCATCAAACCGGAACAACACATAAATCTTATCAATGTAGCGCGTGTATAGGCGAATCGGGTGCCGTGTTTCCGAGGCAGTGTCCTTGAACGACAGATACTCATTCGGAAGCTCAGGCGAACCGGCAATCTCAGTTGCGCGAGTAAGGCCAAGCAACAGAAGATCCAAAATCAGACCGTAGTACTGGAAGATAAATGAACCGAACTGTAGTCCACGAATGAGACCGTATGAGTTCGTGTGCATCATATCCTTGTACGCAATAACAACGTTGTTTTTCGCAGTCATGTAGTCGGCGATGTTGTGATCCAGAATCAGCCGCAATAGTCTATTCAGTAGAGTCAAGTCGATCTTTTCGTAAACCTTTTCGAGCTTCGACTCAAGCATCACCACGCACTCCTTTTCAGACGTATCCCATACGTTGTGTAAATTGTTAACTCCTTGGCACCACTTGTAAACAAGCAGCGGTGGTGGTTCAGAGTCGCTGGGCTTAATCCAGCAAGGGAAGAGGTGGCGCTTGTCAGCCTCATACCACAAATACTGATCAAGGTACGCATCAGTGATCTTTTCTAACGGTTCAATGTCGTTCACAGGGATCAAATGACTATACAGATCCATGAATTCGATGTGGACTTCCTTGAAAGCACGCTGGGTAAGTAAATGCCTCTTAATACGGGACAACGCTTCATGTGGGTTGTCATAGGCCTGTTCAATCAGACCAAGTTCTTCACGCTGCGTCTGGTTCAAGCGATTGTTGACAGAGTAGTTCTCCTTCAGTCGTTCCAACGCAAGAATTAGAAGCTTGGTGTCGTGCTTGTACGACAGTGGCGGGAACGGAATTGGAGCAAACTTTCGGCTTTCTAGCCAGTGCACGGTGGTCGTGTACACCGCGACAGCTTCCTCAGCGGACACATAAGGTCCATCCTTAAGATAATTGTGCTGACGCTCTTGTTCTGCTTTGAGCCACAGTCGCGTCAGGCGACCCAGGTTTTTGTGGCAGACAGTTTTATCGACAGTAGCACCACGCTTAATACGCTCACGGTTGTAGTGAGCCACATTGGTCCACCAGTCTGCCTTGGATTTTACATATCGCAAAATCATGTTTTCAATGGGAGCAGGCAAGCCCGGCACTTTCCATGGGATGTTAGCCTTCCAACTGTTTACATACAATGCACAACATTAGAAAAGCAAAGCAGACGTATGATACACGTCATTACACGTACCAGCGCCAAGCTTCACTGAGATGCGCCATGATCGTTCGTGACTTGTTTACCTTAACACCTTCCGGCATCATATCCAGAATATCGTGCATCACGGCTGCACGTAGCTCCAAATCGAAGTGGCTTTCCACACGCTGCTTCGTAACAGTCTTTGCGATGCCCTTCGAGTGACGGCCTTCAAACTGACGCGCCAGCAGGTTTCCAAGCCATCGCTCGAGCAATGGAACAATGCCTCGAAGAAAGAATAACCACACGCGCCAACCAGGCGCCCAGAAACCACAGCCAGGTCCCTTGCCAACTGGTCCAGTGTTGAACCGATAGTAGATCAAGTGCTTCAAGTCCTTGCACATGCGGACCTGACGCATCAGGCGGTACTTGTATCGGTACATGCCAGTCAGCTGACCAACGTGCGCAAAAATGTACTGTAGTCCATCAGCAAGCTGAAATGCATCAACGTTGCCCAATCGATACTGGACGTGCGCATCCACAATCAGTTTCGTCAGACGCAGAATTTCTCGCGTCAAGTGGAAAGCATTACCAAAACGTGACTTTTTACGCTCCTTTGTCGTAAGCGTCTTGATTGGCTTCAGATTGAAATTGTAATCCAAGTGGAGGTAGTTCAGGTTCTTGCGGTGAATCAGCAAGTTTAACATATTGTATCCCTGGCGGCACACTTGTAGACCAGCTTCAACCCAATCTAATTCAGTGCTTTGGAAGAACTTTGTCGACTTCAGTGACTTGAACAGGTATCTCTTGTTCAGTGCCTTCGGAGGGCGGTGATGCAACGAATTCAGCACCCAGCACTTCAGCAATTTCTGGTAGCTGACACGAACCTTTACAGGCTGTCCTTGCGGACAGTGTTCCTGGAACCACTTATTCACTAGAGGCACATCGATAGCACGACGTGTGCGGCCCGTGCGCAGATTAAATGGCCGTGGGGCCCAATATAGAGCGATACCATTGGCCGTGTCTGGGGTATACAGTGGTTCGTCCGTCAAAAGTGGGTCAAATCCCATAGGTAACTGAAACTCGTCTTCTTCGTCGTCCTCTTTTTTGTGACTATTTTCGTTTTCAGAACGATTCACTCGGAAGTGAGAGATCGGGTTCACAATCGGGTCAAAGTAAAATGCCGGCAAGTCCGGATCCTCTGCCTTAATATAGCACAGTACAGGTGTATGGTACGGCTGAATGTGTACGGACCGTGGTCGACTATTATACAAGAATGGGAATGCCACCTTGTATTCCGTCCGGATTTGATGGCGGATAATAATCTTATTAATGTCATTGAATTCGTTCCAGTCCTCGTCATCCTCGTCCAAATCACGATACAGCGGCTCAAACTTTGGCCCACCAGGGATCGCTACATTCAACGCCTTGGCTGTAAAGAACGACTTTTTATCAAACAGGTACTCGTAGTTCGGGTCCACCAAGTCACTTATCAATTGCCCGGCAAGACGATGTAAGTTGGCCATGATAGGTACAGGCAATCGCCATTTCCGATAACTCGGTCCATTGACAAATTTAGAGTCCACCAGCGGTTTCGAGTCGTAGAACCAGTCAATTACTGCTTCATCGTCTTCCTCGTCCAATTCCATCGTAATGCTCTCTGAAGGTTCAATATCCAAAATATTATCACCATAATCTAATGGTGGTTCCTCATCATCAAAAGGAGGAAAGCGCATGCGCTTAAAATGACGTCGATCACGTTTTTCACGTCGCATCATGATCCACATGGTACCCCATTGCGCAATATAAACAGGTTCAATAACCCACGGGACTTCATTCACAAAGGTAATGGCACCTGTGACATGATACAGCACCTTTACATCCTTGACTTGTTCCCAGGGCATGGGCATATTCTCTAATAGTTTAAAAATGGCATGGGGAACGTACTTAAGGGCTCCTAAGTATACACGCTTATCATGCCGAAATTTCTTGCTGCTCATGTCACCGTGATCTTTAATAATCTTACGCACGTGTTCCGGTGGCATATCGTCTTTTATGGACTCGACAAAGCCAAATTTACGCTTTTCCCCGTAACGTTTTGTATTCATTTTGTTCCAGCGACGACTACGTTCTTCCAGCATCTTTTGCTTTTCTTCAGGAGCAAGGAAGCTAGTAGCAAAAGAAGCGACAGAGCTCGTATGGACACTAGTGTGCTCATGACGTACAGGTCCAGCGCTAGTCATGTCCACGTCGGCTGCTCCCAATGGCGCCATTTTCCGTCAAAACAATCACTCTTGGGCGCCCCAAATGCGGTTTTGTATGAGTGGCGGGAGCGGAAACCTATCTTGTGGCATATGTAGGATCGTATGCGTGTAGAGAGGAAACGATGTACTGAAATAAGAATTATTCATTTTCAGAGATCCTGGACAGAGTGATAGATACCATGAGCATGGCAAGTCCTATGATGACGGCGATGAACATGGCAAATCGATCTCCGCGACCGCTTGAGAAAGAGACGAATGGAATGGCTGAGGAAATTCCCATACAATTGACATTGGGAGATATGACGCTATCACTTGGAGCGGCTGGACACTGGGAGCTTGGTATTGTGAACAATATGTCATTAAACGTGCTCTTAACTAATGGCTAATGAAATAATGGACCTACAGACAGTCACACGACATTCAAGCAGACAGAAGAGCGTATGCAAGTACTGGAGAAGCGCAACGCGACGCTCGAAGACGAGAACATTGCACTGCGGGACAAGTGCACGCGCATGATGGAGGAGTGCAACATGGAAAAGTTCAAGTGCCAACTACTGGTCGAAATGGTGCGTTTCGACACATACGTTCAGGCAAGTCTTTCATAACTACTAAAAGCCTGTGTCGTTGCTGTTGAAATAGCTTGCAGTGTCGAGTTTAGACGAGGAGCGGATGAGAATGCAGGCAGAACAGGAAAAAGCGCGAGCGATCAGTTTGAAGACAGATATAGTGGCATTGATAGAGCAAGCGCGCATTAAAGGGTTTGACTTGCGCAAGCTTAACGCCACCGAGTCGTTGGAAGGAGCTCCGTAGCCATGTATTTGTAGTCATGTATATGTAGCCATGTATCCCCGTATAGATAGATACACACTGAGGGCAATAATTAAACGTAGAAAAGAGTTCAGAAAGAGGCCGCAGTATACAGATTTATATATAATTATACCATATGATTTACAACATGGTCAAAGGCAGGGCAGCGTATGTTGCGGCTTTCCAGCTGTCAATACACGAAGCAAGTTTACTAGAACATGGGCGGATGTTCCTCCAAGAGAAACGCAAAGGATTATGTCCCGCATGATCTACACGATTCTGTATCAAGTAGAGGAGGTGGTGTGGATAGCGCATCTCGTAGCCTTTCCGTGTCGGATGCATCGCGTGAGCGCTCCAAGAGGTCGAACCGCCGACCCACTAACATTACGGTGGACTTCCAGGAGTTTAAAGATAAGGAGAAGAACGTTGTAGAGACGATGCTCCAGAGCAACAAAGGACTGCGGATGGCCGAGATTAATTTTTATGATCTGAAGCTACAGAAGATCATTGGTGCAGGTGCATTTGGTGAAGTCATTAAGGGCACGTACTGCGGTACGCCTGTTGTAGTCAAACGAATGCTGCGCACCAAGATCACTGAAGATAATTTACGCATGTTTGGCGACGAGATTTTGCTCATGATGAACCTACGTCATCCGAATATTGTGCAGTTTATTGGTGCTAGTTGGAATTCGTACTCTAACATGTAAGTGTACGGTTGGTTGAAAGCATTGGACATGAACCGTTTTTTGGGGTGAATTGATTTGAGATGTCGCTTTTGTTTCTTGAACTGAGTGCAGTTGCTTTGTGACGGAGCTCCTGGAGAGAGGAGACCTTTTTGCAGTACTACGGAATCTGGAGAACAAGATGACGTGGGCTAAACCTATTCTACGCATGACCATCGACACCTCACGCGGTATGGCATATCTACACAGCATGAAGCCTCCTATTATACATCGCGACCTAAAGAGCATGAATATCCTCGTTAGGTAACGACCGACACATTTACCTGCTATTCCAAAGTATTAGTTCTTGGCAGACGGAGAAAGTGCGTCGTTCTGACACGCCATGATATGTCGGTTTGATTAATAACCTGTAGTTCCACGTGGGGCGCCAAGGTGAGCGATTTCGGTCTAAGTCGCGAAAAGTCCGTCGATGAGACGATGAGCGTGACTGGCACACCTCTGTGGCTGCCACCCGAGATGATCCGGGGAGAGCGCTACACGGAGAAGGCAGATGTTTACAGTTTCGGTATTGGTACGTACATGACCCCAATTGCTCCAAGAAGGTTTTTGGCTGCACAAATTTGCTAATGACTGATTGATATTCTACGATATACAGTGTTAGCGGAGCTGGATACGCGTAAGATTCCGTACCACGACATGAAGGCCAAGGGTGCTCGGAACAAGAAGGTGTCTGGTAGCACGCTGATGCATATGGTGGCATACGAAAATCTGCGTCCGTCGCTGAGCAAGAATTGCATGGACAGCGTGCGTGACTTGTATAAGCGGTGTACGTCCGACAACCAGTCGATGCGCCCCACCTTTGAAGAAATTGTTCAATTCCTCGAGAACGACGTCCGCAAGGAGACCCTTGTACGTGCAGTACGTGCTTGTTCTTTTTGTCTGGATTGTCCCTTTGTGATCCAATCTTGGAGCACTGTCATACTCATGGTGTCCTTTGTATTCATTCGTTATCACTGTGATTGCTTAGAACGAGGAAATGAATTTAATTGAGGAAGAACAGAATGGAACAGACGTTTCTCCCGAAGAGCTCGGTGTTCACCATGCGACACGCTACGTGGATTAAAGATTATAAAAAATACAAGAATCTCATGTAGCCATTCGTACTTGAGCTGAGCTTGAAGAGTGCCACGTGTCGTCCTACCAAGTCATTTCTTGGGCTAAAGACGATTCACTTGCAGTGTCATTTCGGGTTTGGACGAGTAATACAAGAACGATACCAAGAAGTATGGGAGTTTGGAAAGCCGTGGTTTCGATGACAGCCATGGCCCTTGGCGTCGTAACGGCTGGTGATGTGAAGGTGTTGACGCCCGACAATTTTGATGAAGTAGTAGACGGTTCCAAGCACGTGTTGGTCAAGTTTTACGCGCCGTGGTGTGGTCATTGCAAGAGTCTGGCGCCGACGTACGAGACTGTAGCGACGGCTTTTCAAAAGGCGGACGACGTTGTGGTAGCTGAAGTGGACGCTGACAATTACAAGGATTTAGGCTCCAAGTTTGAAATCACGGGATTTCCCAAGCTCAAGTACTTCCGCAAGGGTTCGACGGAGGCTGAAGATTACGAGGGCGGCCGTAGCGAGGAAGACTTTGTCACGTTTTTGAACGAGAAGGCCGGCACGAATGTGCGTGTGGCAAAGGAGCGAAGCTACGTGACTGCTCTATCTGATGCGAGCTTTGATGCGGAGGTGATCCACTCAAAAAAGCACGCTATTGTCGAGTTTTACGCTCCTTGGTGCGGCCACTGCAAGTCTCTAGCCCCTATCTACGAAGAGGTGGGCGCTATCTTTGAGGGCGAGGACGATGTGCTTATTGCCAAAGTCGATGCCACGGCTAACGAGGAGCTGAAAGAACGCTTTAACATTAAGGGTTTCCCGACACTCTTCTACTTCAGCCCGGACTCGGACGAGCCCGAGGATTATTCGAACGGTCGTGACAAGGAATCGTTCGTCGAGTTTATCAATGAGCACGCCGGCACACACCGTTCTGTGGACGGTAGCCTGACGGCTGAGGCCGGCCGCGTCGATCAGTTGGAGGTGATCATTACGGAGAGCAGTGACATCACGGCGGATGTGCAGAAGAAGGTGCAGAAGGTTGTTGACGGTCTGGACAGTAGCGACGCCAAATACGGTTTGCTGTACGTGAAGGCTATCAAGAAGATCGTTGCCAAGGGCCCCTCATACGTGGATACCGAGATCTTGCGTCTCGAGGGTCTGCTAGACAACGAAAACGTGACTGCTCAGAAGAAGACGCTATTTGGGCTCCGCAAGAATATCCTCAAATTTTTCCAGGAGAAGCTGAACGAGAAGACAGAGCTGTAAAGTAGGTGAACTTACGGCTCTTTGTGGCAATCGCACGCGTAAGATGGACAGCTCGGAGCTGCGTGTTTCTTCATTGTAGTGCAGCGCTAGAATGTCACGCAGTGCCTGTTATCGCTTTTGTTCTGAGCTGTTCGTGCCGAGGTTTTTGTTCACCGTCTTTCTAATTCTGCTCAGTTCTCTTCCGTAAGGGCAGTCCTTGCAGAGTTTACTTTTCTTCACACCAGCTTTCCTGCAGTGCTTTTCCTAGTCTGCCACGGGTCTGCTTCCATCTCCTTGATTTCCATTTCGTCTACCTTAAGCTGCTCGTATCTTTTTGAGCCTACTTGCTACATGCAGCTTCGTTCTACAAGCACTACTACCCCACAACATGCGCTAGCCTGTTCAAGTGACTATTACTGCAGGAATATGCACGTTTAAACCGATGCCATTTCCGATAACGTGCTGCGCAGCTTATCAGCAAAATTCTGACGATCCGCGACGATGCCCTTCTCAGACGGACAACTGGGGACGCGTACGCCTCCCATAGCGCTCTGCATCTTCACCGAACGATTCTACAATAGAAGACAGGAACAAAGCAAAATTAGTGACGTAGAACCCAATAATCGATAGCGCTGAAGGCTGCATATACCTCCAGGAAATAAATATCTACTGCGCAGCGGTCACCATAGGATAGGCGGACCTGTGTTTGCGACCGTGGGATCATTACCAGTTCGGCAGGCACGAAAGACTTGTCATCACCACCGTAAGACTTTTCAGCATAGTAACCCTTCTCTTCGCCTGGAAGTTTGAATTTGTAGCCCAATTTCATTCCCTTTCCACCCATCTTGCCCCGACCAAAAGCTTTTGGGCCTCCATTGGCTGCATCTTCCTTCGCAATGGGCAGAGAGTCTTGCCGATAGTATTTAGCGCAAAGTAGCTGGGACTCTACAACGCTCGCCAAAATTCCCATCGGAATGCATGTACGCTCCAGCGCTTCAACAAATTGTGCTGGGTCGCTGTGTCCATTCAGCGCCGACTGGATAAAGTGCATCAGCGGGTGTTCGGCTTTATGGCTGTAGTTAACTACAAATCCCATTTTCTGCTTGAACTGCACGGTCACGCGATACGTCGTCATGCCATCCGGCGATGACCCAGCAGCAATGCAATGCCTTGGATTTGGTGCTCGGCAAGCCAGCACAATCGCAAATGGGTCGGCGCTTTCAACGTAGAAATATCCATCACTTTTAATGTCATTCGTGTAGCGCCCAACAGCGGTCATCATTTTCTCCAACTTTACTGCGAGTTCACAGAGCGGCCGCACGACACAAATCAGCTCAACCATGAACAATTCTAGTGGGTTCTCACCAAAAAGATCACTAGTAACCAACGTTGTTGGGTACTTGAAGATCAATTGACCTCGTGCATTAACATAGTGCGAGCACTCAGATAACAAGTGCTGTTTTGGTTTCTTCGGAAAGATAAACTTAAACGGCGCCGAGGCCATCTGAAGACACAACTCGAATCCTCCCCCATGCTTCAGGTGGCCTTGGATAGCTGCGATCCTCAAGGGATCCGTGTTGACCTTTTCCGGGAACGAAAGCGTGACTACTTGACCACCTGTACCCTCCCCGTTTGACGTACCAGCTTCGCCTGAGTAGCGAATCCTGGACTTGCGCCGCCGAGCAAAGTTCACGAAGTGTTGCAATTGAATTCTCTCACTGCACATATTGATCGCGTGCAGCAACACTGACGCAATATGAGGAACAAATCTGTGAGAAACTGCGTGATTCTCGGCGTCGTCCAGCCAATATCCCGTGCTCTCTTGTACTCGTCCACTCTCAAGAAGCGTCTTTTTGGTTGGCCTCATATTACTTCCAAGCAAAACATTGCTAAACGAACCGTAAGGACGCTTTCGAGTATTCCCACGATGACCACTGACAATAATCTCGTTATGGCGAGTGATTGACGGATGTAAATCTTCCTTTTTGAATGCGCCAAACCGCTGGATAAACTGCACACCAGATGGCTGTCCCGGCAAGCCTGCACTTGTCTGAAGCAGCGAGAAACATGGTAACCGCACGTACTCTTCTACTTCGGCGGCTTCGTGTACATTTCCGTTCATCCCATCCACATCGCCATACTTGTCGATCTCAATAACCAGGTAGCATGTAGACTCCTTGGACGACGTCAGCTGAAAATACAGCGCTGTGTCCGAGATTGATAGATCCTCAGTCTGTCCGCCATGCTGCTGTCGGAAAGCAAGATACCGCTCCCAGTTCAGATTCACCTTGCGTAATACTTCAATGCCCTTAAAAGAGGAGCCGATTTGCGCAACCTCGCCAGCCACGATCTCGCATAGGACCTTCCGAACACTAGCATGTATGATTTCGTTTGACTTGTCGCCCTTCCTGTCACCAGAAACCAAAGCAAAATCGCTCGGGAGCGAATCGTCAAAGTTACTTCCGATCTCGATTTTGCATTGCGTATCGAATACCCGCTCTAACTGTTTCACCGTGGTATAAAGAGCGGAATGTTTCGCTGCAGCGACCGCGCTCACAATAAACCGACCCTCGCGAATGTCAAACGTTACCTCTAAAAACTGCTGCAGTCCACCAATATCTGCCCGTGCAATTCGAAAACTCGTATCTGAGCAGACCATAGCAACATTTTCTCCAGACACCAGTTGTGTGGAAGCCTTCTCATCCGGAGAATCTACTACAAGTAGCCTGCCTATTGAGAAAAGAGCTGCGGAAACGTGGGCACGCATCGCCGCAATGAGCAGGTTCTCGGCACTGAGCATGAAAATGTTGGATGGCACCTCTAATGCGCTCAATAGTGAGGCATATCCAGGTAGATTTGGTGGAAGCGACGGATTGAGACTAACAGAGAGGAGCTTCTTCTTGTTCGGATCGAAACCCAGTCGAACACACAAGCTCGATCCGGGATACGCTAACGCAGATCCTTTTCGTACTGTTGTCCCTGGGCCGCTTAGTTGTTGAATCAACCGCTGTTGATCTGTTAGTGCTTGTGTCTCTTTCCGCGTACAAGCCTTGGGCCAGTAGCAAATGTCCAAAACGTTCTGGTCACGATGGTGTTTAATCATGATGCGATTCTTCCAGCGACCTTCCGTAAGCAGTTTTCCTTGCGAAGCAAGGATTTGCAATGCAAGCGACGAACAAAACTGGCGCATCACTACGAAAGCATCGACGAACGGCTTCTCAGACTTGTTCATGGCACGTTGCACAAGGTTCTTCAAATGATTGTAATGTGCTGCACTTGGCGAATTTGTGCGAATAATTCGCAGAGCACTAGTGGACGCTGCCTGCGCGTGGTCTTCAAATGCTTTCGGTTCTGTAAGCGGCGTATTCACACTGATAACACGCCACTTGGCGTCATTTTCTTTTCCCTGAATGGTCAACACAATTTCAAATTCTCCTTCAACTTGACATGTGACAAAACCTCCTTCCAGTTTAATGTTTGAGACCTGCTCTGGAATCTCCTCTCCAATAAGACGGAAGCGGATAATGTCCGCTACCTCCATTGCTGCCTCATCCGTATTCACTTCAGGTAATTCACGCGGAAACATGGCGTTCTTAATGATAGTGGGCAATCGCAGATAACTACCACCGTACAACACGTCGACGGTAGTACTGAGGTCGTACCGTCGTTCCTTGGCACGATTGAGATCCGTATGCATGAAAAATAGTCGATCATTCGTCTCATTGACGTTGTTACGGTATCTTTCCGTTTGCTGCAACAACGAGTCACATTGTTGCAGCAGCGGCGACTGCACCGACCACTTCAGTACCGCTAATAGCTGCGCAAAACGCTTACGGGAAGTCTGCAAATGAGTCAGCAACGGCTCGCGTCGCTTCTCTTCGCGCATTGTAGGCAACTGATGCATAAGCGTTCGGAAATCCTCATAGCTCTTGTCCACGGCGCGATGCACGAGTTCGGACGCCTTCACGCTCGTTCGTTCCGGTGGTGGGAAGTCTCCCATGTCCTTTTACACGCTATAGAACTACTAGATATTTCCTGCTACTACTTTTGTCCAAGATTTAGGCAGCAAGTATATTCAATTAAACGACTTTGGCGTGGGATTAGCCTGTGATGTGGCGCTGTGAGGTCCGTCAAGTGAGTCTACAAATGAAGCAGAGACGCTGCTCTGTTTCTGTATGCAACGGTGTGGGGTTTCCTTGTCTTGGGGTGGTGCTACGAGGCACGTGAAGCGACAATCGACACACGTTTTGCTACCCCCCTTCTGAGGACTGGAAAGCAATTACTCGAGTGAACTTGGCTCTCGAACAATGATTGACTACTACTTGTGTCGACTACTACTTTTGTCGATTACTACTTATGTCGATTATTACTTTATATCCCTGTTACATCAGATTATATCTAGTTTTACAAAGGAATAATACAGTTACATGTCCTCCTACATTGATTTAGTTTACCTGCTTCATTTGATCATAACTACAGATATCATCCGTGACATTTGGTTCAGACGCAGACACGCCTACAGACGTCGGAACAGCAGCAACCTCGGTTAGAAAGGAAAAAAACTAAATCTCCTAGTTCAAATGCTACGGCCTGCGGTAATGTCGACTTCCTCGGCGCAAGAGCCACCACATTCACGTGGCTCGAATCCCAATAAGGCTTGAGCAGCCCAACGTAAAACACGAGATGTGTGCGCATCTTGCGCGGCAAACTCAGCGTATACGCTAGGCCATTTTTGGCTACGCAAGCCATGTTGGCGAAACACACGATCGATAAACAGCTGCGTTGTACCTTCGCCATCGATCGAATCCGGCACAGACGCTAAGTGAGCCTTTGTGCTTAAATGGTCAGCAAATATCACGATGTCCGTGTTGCCATGCGAATTTTTCAGTAAGCCAAACACAAAATCCATACTAATGAACTCCCAACACCCAGTGGGAACAGGCAAAGTAGCCAGAGGCGCTGCCGAATGGGGCGAGGGTTTTACCCGCTGGGACGTTTCACATGTACGCACATATGTGCTCAGCCATTTATACAGCTTGGGCCACCAATAACTTTTGCATACTTAGCCATAGGTCTTTTCACGACCCAAATGACCCCCGATGGCGGTGTCATGTACCTCATAGAGAATACAATATTTGAGGTCCTCATCATGAGGAACCACAATACGCGAAGGATTCGCCACATCGGTACTGTAGTACAACAGCTCCTGATAGATAGAATTTCGATGGAGGCTCGCACGTAATCGTGCCGACAAATTTATTGTCCGAGCCTTTAATCTCATCACTGCCAAGGGCATGTAGCAGGGATACACAATGATCATCTTTAGCATACGACGATTGAATGAGATCGGTAATAGAAGACGACAACGTCGTAACATGAACAAGCTCATAGTCAGGTATGCGTGACAACGCATCAGCCAGCGCATTTTGCTTGACCGGCTTATATTTCACCTCGAAATTATATTCGGCAAAGAATGATAGCCATCTGGCCACTCGCTGCGAGAGATGAGGGTACGGAGTCGCAGTTCGTAAAGACGCATGATTGGTGTGGAGAAGTGCCAGAGAAATGGGGGGGGCCCTTCGTAGTTATTATAATAACTGGCGTGAAAGATCTCGGTCACTCTCTTGAATGAGTGACAGGGAGTGAGCAGGGTCCCAAACTGGTCCAAGGTCCCGAGTTCGGAGAAGATACTAGGATGTCCTACACTACAGACCAAAGGACCAGTGCTGCTAGGACAGCTTAAGTTGACCCCAGGTAACAGGTGGGTCCCAGACAACAGGTGGACCCAGGTGACCGGTGGACCCCAGGCAACAGGTTGACCCAGACAACAGGTGAACCCAGGTGACCGGTGGACCTCAGGTGACAGGTGGACCCCAGGTAACATGTGGACCCCAGGCAACATGTGGACCCCAGGTAACAGGGGCCCAGGGGTACCAGGATACCGGGGCCCAGGGGCCTAAGGGTACCAGGGTACCGGGGCCCAGGGGTACAGGGGTACCGGGGCCCAGGGTACCGAGGCCCAGGGGTACCAGGGCCCAATGTCCGAGGGTGCAGAACCGGTACACAGAATATCGAAGATTACAGAAAGTACAGGGTACCAAGGAGCCAGTCCTTCCTCCAAGAGTCGGCACGTGGCACTTTTCAGATCAAAGGGTTAGGGTTAGGCAAGAAAAGCATACAAGGTATAAGATAAATAAACACACTCGAATTTGCATTACACGTGGCAGCTTTAAGCGCCCCTCCTAAGCTTCTCCGTCGCTACACCTCTTCCGGGCGGGATACCCTTTGGCCCCCCGACGTCCAGCAGGTGTTAGACGGCTCAAGCAACGCAAGTTGAACCTCAGGATAGTTGGCCTGAGGTGTCAAGTAAGTGTCAACACTCTACAACCCGCTATAGGAAGCGGTTTCCCTGCGGGGAACAAGAAAAGGGGTCGAAGACCAAGAAACAGTCAGCCACCAAAGGGGTACATAGTACCAGGTGCATCGCTCTCGACTAAGTCGATTGAGCCCAAGAAATCCGGTCCCAAGTGAAGTATATTCACTCGTGGCCTCCAAGTCCCTCCATACAAAGACCAAGTCTTTAAGTCTTCTGCGTCTAACGAGGAGAAAGACCAGCCAAGCCGACGGGTACACAAGGTGAGACCCAAGGTTGACGCGACACGGTATCGGGGTACCCCCTCCGTAAGTCGGCAGTCCGGCGCTGTGTGTGTTTGTGGTTCTCTCACGTTGTTTGAGAATCCACTCCACCACAATGGTGCGCGTGCCCGGATCTTCGGGAGACGCGGGATTTCACCGTGAGTCCCACGAAGAAGAAAAGATAACGGTCAAGATAGACCAAGGGACGACCAAGACAGTGGAAACCGGATCGCCAGTGATCAAGAAGGAAGAAGGATCGAAGGACCTGCAGAGCCCGGGGAGGAGCTTTGCTATTAAGGTCAAGGTGGAATATGAAGAAAAATCACAAAATCCTCCCCCTTATGTCTTCGTTGAAGAAGACAACATGGGCCATTTTAAATATTATGGTCTAGGGGTCCCAAGTTTGACAGCGAAAGCTAAAAAACAAGGGACCCCGAAACAAGTCTCCCAACCTACCACTCAAGAGCCAAAGGTGCCCAAGAACAAGCAGCAAAAGAAGCAGAAGCATACCAAGTTGAAGGCATCGATAGGCGGAGACACGACGGACGAGTCGGGAGAGAGCCAAGGCGTGGCCGGTAAGGACTGGACAGAAGAAGATTTGGAAGAAGCCTACCATCGGAAGAAATTGAAGAAGTTTCTTCGAAAGGACCCGGTGATGAAGGCGCTCAAGGTCAAGCTTCTGTACCAGGTCCACGGTCCGATAACGGCTCTTCCCACCACGACCACAGACCTGGAGGTCCTCAAGGCCGTAATGAATCTGCTACATGAAGCTGGGATGGCTGCTGGGAACTTTACCGCTGAGACCCTCTTCGATTTCGGGTTCGAGACCTTGAAGAAGACCTTAGTGACCCTGCATGGTCACCTCAAGACGTTAGTGGGAATGTTCCCCCCAAAGGAAGTACCCCGTCAAGATGGAGGAGTAGTGGATCCTGGTGTGGGCTCTCCTGCTGGGTCACTCGGTGAATCGTCACCAAGGTCTCAATATGAATCGGCCACCTCATCTATGATGTCGGCCCTTATGGATACGGTGGACCGAATGCAACTGGGTCCAGCTGGTGCAGCGTTGTTGGAAGCAAGAATTCGTGAAGCTGGTCATATGGAAACAGCAACCCCATGGGTCCAGCGCCAAGCACAGGAGGAGACGGAGGCCCGGTGCAAAGTGGAGCCAAGGTTGATGGGGACAAAAACGGACCAGGAAACAAAGACTGAGTCAGTTTCCCCTAGCGCGCTCCAGTCGTACTTTGATAAGGCGATGACCAAGTTCCTTGAAGATCGAGGCTCCACAAAAGTTGCAGTGGACAGGGGACACACCACGAGGTGTCAAGGGCCAGTTCACCCCAGGTCCTCCCAGCGGATTGAGCGCCTAGGACCACTAGGCGATATCCCTGATGTGGACATGGAATCTGTGGGGTCAACCCATGATGAATACGACCCAGATGACTTGGCGTTCCCGATGACCTCAGCGCGAGCGACTGTGGCCACGGCTACGGCAGGAGGACCCCCTACTGTTGTTCCACACATCAGGGTATCGGCCTCGTCGGATCTGATGGAGTTTAGCGGAAGGGACCACGATGCAGATCGTGCCAGAAGCTGGAGCACTAAGGTAAAGACGGCTTTCCTCCGAGACCAGGCACCAGACAGCGAGAAGTGTCTCATCTTTGGGTCCCTGCTCACAGGTCCAGCTCAGAATTGGTTATCGACAGCTGGGTCGAACAGTACGCGTTGATTGGAAACTGCTGTTGCGAGAGTTCCAAGCACAATTTTGCGGCTTGGGGGTGTCGGTGGCCCGACAATATCATCACGCCAGAAAGAGAACCGATGAGTCACCCTTGCAATATCTGTACCGTTTGAACGTGGCAGGGCTCAGGGCCAAGCTAGATATTAAGGGTGGACCCCCCAGTGTAAAGCGTGAACACGTGGACCCATTACGTGGAAACCTTGGATGATTGAGAATAAGCGGACCAGCTTACATTGCTCAGACTTTCTGATGCAGAAGACCTGGAGGAAGTCCTGCTGGCTCGTCAGAGAGCGAAGACGCGTCAAGGAAGGGTCTTGTTCGGTTCCAGCAAGTTTCGCCAAAATGCCCCAATCACTCCAGACCACACCAAGAGTCAGCTGAGAAGACCCGTCCAAGTCATCCGAGCCACTTCTGAAAGTGAAAATGACCAAGGGTCCAGCTCCAGTGGGTCTGAGGGAGAAGGTTACCTCAGAAGAATGTATGCGGCGGCGAGTGAACCTTACACTGGTAGGGCGAGGAACGCAGATGACCCCCGGGATCATCAGGACCCAGAGCCAGACCGAGGTAGACGCACGGCAGAGGGAACTGGACAAAAGGTGGTTCCAGGGTCACCCGTGGCGAAGTGT